GCACATGTTATTTTTCTTGATGGTGTCCCACATTATTCTTAGTTTTTCTTCTTTTTCCTTCTTTTTTGGGTCTGCTTTTTGCTCTAGCAGATCAGTGGTGACAATTTTGTCTTCAATTTCACTGATTCTGTGTTCTTCCTTTTCCCATTTGTTAATATTTGTTTTATATGATTTGCAGCTATATCATTTGATGCATAGAAATTTATTATTTTATCTTGTTCTATTGACACTTTAAGCATTATGTAGTGATCTTCCTTGCCCTTTGTGATGGTTTTTGCATTGAAATCTATTTTATCAGAGATTAGTATTGCTACTCCTGCTTTTTTCTGGTTGCCATTTGCTTGGTATATTTCCCCCCCCCTACTCTTTTATTTTTAGTCTTTTTTTATCTACACCTTTCAAGTGTTTCTTCTGTAGACAGCATAATGATGGATTTTGGTGTTTTTTCATCCCATCTGCTGCTATTTTTTCTCTTCAGTGGTGCATTTGAATCATTCACATCCAGTGTGATTGTTGAGAGGCAAGGTTTTATTGCTGTCATTTTGTTGGGTTCTTTTTGGCTTTGTTGCTAGTTACTTTGGTCCATCCTCCTTTCTGTGGCACCTCTGTGAGAAGGACGTCTCTCAGTGTTTCTTGCAACACTCCTATTGTTTTTTACAAATTCCCCTAGGTTCTGTATTTCGGAGAATATCTTGATCTCTCCTTCATATTTGATGGACCATTTTGCTGAGTAAAATATTCTTGTTTGAAAGTTGTGTTCTTTGAATGTTTGATTTATGTCAAGTCTATAGTCCTCTTGCTCACATGGTTTCTGCTGAGAAATTGGTACTTAATCTTAACTGCTCTCCCTTATAGGTTACTCTTTGTTTTTCCCTTGCTGCTTTCAGAATTCTCTCCTTATCTTTAGTTCTGGCAAATTTGACTATGATATGTGTTAGTGTTTTTCTTTTGGGGTCTTTTCTGTATGGTTTTTATTCAGCTTCCTGAATATATATTTTCTCAATTCTTTATTATACTTGGGAAGTTTTCTTCTAGTAATTCTTCCACAACTTTTTCGGTGCCTTTAGTGGCTTCTTCTTGTTCTGGGATTTTGATTATGCACGTGTTATTCCTCTTGATAGTGTCCCAAATTATTCTCAGGTTTTCTTCTTTTTCCTTCTTTTGATTCTACTTTTTATTCTAGCAGATCAGTGGCAACAATTCTATCATCTATTTCACTGGTTCTGTGTTCCATCTCTTCAGTTCTGCTCATGTGTCCCTCCATCATGTTGACAGCATCTGAAACATTGGTGCCCATATTTTGGATGCGGTTTCTTGATTTTCCAGGACATCTAATCCCTCATTTGTTTTATCTGCATTGTTTTGGATTGGTGTTTATTTTTTAAACTCCTCCTGGTCTTTGCTTGCAGAGTCCTGTAATTCCTTATTTGCCTTCCATCCATTCAAAATATTCAATCATTTTTCTTTTAAATTCTGTGTCAGAAAGTTCTATCAGACTTTCTGGCTTCAGAAAATCCACCAATACGGTGTCACTTTGGGGGGGTTACATCTTGCTTTGGGTCTGTGCAGGATGTGAGATAGCCTGCTTTCCACATGACATTGCTGTGGTAGAGTTTGATCTGACATCACCACTCCAGAAGATGATGGGAAAGCTATCCTGCCTGGGTTTTCTCTGAACTTATGAATCAAGAGAAGATTTGCTTCAGTTTGGGAGAGAAAAGACCTGTGAATTAGCCGCCTCCTCTGTCAGACAACTGCTGCAGCTAAGCCAGTCCAAAGAACTCAACTAAAGGCAGTTATTTTACTGGATGTGAGGGGACATACAGTGGATCATGGAGATGCACACAGGGCAGGTGTACATGGAGATACATGCAGGGTGGGCACGCGTGGAGATCTGAATGGAAACCAGGAAACCTTGGATTTCCCTTCAAGAATTGGGTCTGCTGCTTCACTCAAGCTCTAGCTATCTCACTCCCTTCTGCTTGATTTTATGGGGTCCCATGTGGTCCAGCCAAACAGCAGTGATCCCCACAAAGTACCTCAACACAAATTCCAGCTGTCTTTTTTACTCCTGCCCACACCTGGCACATCACTCCTGGCATGTTGCTCCTGGTGTTATCACTCCTGGCATGGGCATCAACTCCCAGAATGGGTGTCACCTTCTGCTTCAGACTCCAATTGCTCCAAACTAGAGATTTGGGAGGCTGCACTTTATGGGGGGGGGGGAAGGTGGCACAGGACCAGGGGAATCTAATCTTACTTTCCAAAACTGAGGAGTATTTAAGATATTTGCTGCAGAAGCTCAAAGACTGCAGCCTTCAGTATTTACTGTATTTCAACATGAGGAAAACAAATATCTTTACTACCATCCAATAGGCAGCATCATTGTTAATGATTTTTGCCTTCCTTGGATCCACAATCAAAATCCTTGGCACCAGTCAGGATATCAAAAGACAAGTTGCACTAAGAAAATCTTTTGTCAAGGGCCTCTCCAGAGTGCTAAAGAATCAAGATACCTGTCTAGAGAGTAAGGTGCTACTAATCCAGGGATGCCTTCTCAATTGCTTGTCATGCATCAGAGAGATGAACAGTGAACAAGGATGACCGAAGAATACACGCCTTTGAGTTGTGGTGCTGGAGAATATTATTGAACATACTATGGACAGCCAAGAGAATAAACAAGGGTCTGTCCTGAAGAGGGTGAACCAGGCAGCTCCTTGGAGGTAAGGATTTTGAAACTTTACTTCATCTACTTTGGATAGGAGGAAGAAGTCCTTGGAGGACATCATGCTTGGAGGGGTAGAGAGTAAGTACAAGACAGAAAGACCTGGGATGAGATGGATTGATGTGGTGACTGTGGCAATGCAGTCAGGTGTTTCAGAAATGGTAAGATTAACTCAAAATAGGGCAAGGTTCAGAGCTGCTGTTCATAGGGTTGCTGAGTCATAGGTGACTCGAAGACACATAACAACAACAAGTACCAACCACAATGTGGGTGGTATGAACTTATAAGCAGTTCCATGAGACAAAGACTGACAATCATGGTCCATAAAGATTTGTAGCCTTGGAAACCCAGTGGAGGGTTGCTATGAGTCAGATTCGATGGCAATGGGTCTCTGATTTTTGAAAGGCCCCCAAAACTAAGGCTAAAACTGAAATTATATTAAAGTAATTAATTATTTTCTTTAACCTTGAGTTTTATATATATCAATTATCCACTAATGGAAAACAAATGTTTGCATAGTTCTGGTAGTGTAGTATAAGTTGGTATGATAATAGAAAGATCAGTGGTTTGAATTCATCTGTCATTCACCAGGAGAAGGATGAGGCAAGCTCCTCTCACAAAGATTTATAACATAGGAATCCTGTTATAGGGTCACCATGGGTCAGAACTGACTAAACGACAATGTGTCTTCTATTTTAAAATATTAGAATAGTTCTTGGAGGGACAGTTTACATCTTATTTCTTAGGGAGGTATCAGTGCTATACAGTATATTACAAATAGTATACTGTTACTATGTCCAGTATGAAGAAGAAAAGTGCTTACCTCTGCAGATGGCCCAAGCATCTTCATCACATTTCTCACCACTTGTTCTCAGTTCAAAAAAATTATATTCTTCAATACTAAGAAGACCATTTCCATCTAAATCAATAACGTCAAATATATCTGACAGAGCTGACCTAAAATTATAAAAGTGCAAAGTATTTCTTTTTTTATTTTTAAATTGCTATTTTAACAAAAGTTTACAGATCACTTGGATTTTCTATTCATTCATTGTTGCACACTTCCCTCCCTACGAAAAATGCAAAACATTTCTTTAAAGCACAAAGGAAGAGGTTCAATCAGAAGGCTCTTTGGAGGCAAGAATGTCAAGATTTCAAATCATATAGTTTGTTTTGGGCATGCGATCAAATGGGGCCACTTCCTGGAGAAGGGCATCAGGCTTGGCATACTTCCAAGTAGAAGAACATAGAAAGAGAGGAAGCTCCTCAATAGTATGGACTTATATATAGAGACTACAACAATGAACTCTAGCATGGCAGTAATTATGAGGATGGCACAGGATCAGGCAGCACTTCACCATCTTATATGTAAGGATACTATGAGTCAGAACAGCCTCAATAGCACTTCACATCCCTAACAAGACACTAGATCGAAGAGATTTCTCTTAGGACAAAATTCAGAAGGAAGTTATAGCAATGACAAACAAGTTTTGTGAATTATAAAGTTAATATATGCAACCACATTTTGGCTATAAAACAACCATAGTATATTACAAACATGTAAGAGGATGAGGATGTTTTCTTATCTTTTCTCTTGCTCTAATCTACTTTTATCCTCCTCTACATCCAGTTAAATTTTATTGTTTGTATCAGAGAAAAGTACCAAAGTTTTTGGATTTCACATTTGACAGTTATCTAAATTATTAATTCACTTTCAAACTCAAACTCATTGTCAATGAACAGGAACCCAACTCATAACTGACTCTCCAGCAGGGTTTTGGAGGTTATAAACTGCATGGTGCTCTCCACCTCAGGTTAGAAGTGCAACTCCCTACAGACTACCCTACCAGAGCGCCTCTATAGCTCAACTAGTAGCATCTATTTCTAGGGAAGTATCTGGTAGGGGGAACTTGGTAAATGTGTTACTAAAATTGACTTGCCAGCTGTGTGGAACCTAGAAATGAAGGACAACCCCCTGGCCTATGAATTAACACAAAATTTCAGACGCATAATGAATAAGCCTGGAAGCAGGAGCAGCATCCACTTCTGAAATGGCTTGCCTCCAGAAACTCTATGTACAAACAGTGCTCAGGCCTTTCGTTCATAGGGTCGCTATGAGTCATCTACGACTCGACGGCACCTAACAACAACAACAATGAATAAGCTGTTTTACTGAACTAGAATCAACGGTAAGTATGGAGGGTGGCCAAAGGAAGGGAGCAAAATAGGTGGAAAGGTTCCTAATTCACATCTAGTCCAATTGTCTAAAACTTACCTAAAAGCCTTCGTAAGTAATAATTTCCCCATTTCATCCCTATATACAAGTTGGGCTTCTTCTGTTATTGGCTTTCTTTCTTTCTTCAGTTTACAGCCAGTAGTGGATGGAATTAGCCAGTACATTCCAGGTCCTAGTTCGCCAGTCCACCCAAATACCTTTTCTCAAAAGAATTCAAAACAAAACAAAAACAAACAAAAATAATCATAAGTGTGACTCTTATATTTTCTTTTTAAGAATATATTAGATATAATTTTTAAAACAAAATTTTATTTTAATTGTAATTTAACAAGCATTTACAGAGAAGTTAAGATTTTCATTGATTCATTGTTGCACATTTTACTTCTGTCCCTACCTATGCCTCCCCCAGTTAACTTTTTTAAAAAAAAAAATATATTCATTCATTGTTGCACAATTACCTACCTCTCCAGCCTCAGTCCTTTTTGTAATGATATATCTCTTATAGGGCTGTTGTCATATATGTAATGCCTAATCATATATTCATTATGACAATTCTTTCTGTTTCAATGTAATGGTCATTGTAGAGCTAATTTTTATCAATATTTACCCATTCTATTATACTTCAAATGAAGTGTGGAAGTCATTGAGAAAATAACTGTTGTGTTAATAAAAGTCTGCTGAAGATAATTTAAAAATGATTGCAGTTATACAGTAACAAGGAAATGACAGATCAGGTTGGATATATGACTGTGGTCAAATGGATACTGATTGAAAGTAGAGAATTTTAAGACACAGGATATCTGTGTTTTATTTAATATGTTTATAATGATGCAAAAGCCGTGTGCATCATAATAAACTATAGACAATATTATGAAAAATAGAATACGATGCAACAATGAATGACTGGAAACCCTAAGTCTCTTTAACCTTCATTAAAATGATTTTAAAAAAGAAAATAAAAAAGACTGATTTAAAAAAAGAAAGAATAGAATACCAGAGCACTTAATTTTATCCTTTGGGAACCTATACACAATTAGAGGGCAGCTAGGGTATCAGGGAATACTACATACATCAAATCTGGACAAGGTTTGTGGCAGAGTTGTATTCTTTCTTGTTAATTATTTAAGCTGTATGTGGGACAAATAATCCCAGAAGGTGGACTATGTGAAGAAGAATATAGCATCTGTGTTGAAACAAGATTCATCAATAGCCTGCCACAGGCAGATGACACAGTCATGCTTGCAAAAAAAGAAGAGAGTTTGGAGCACTTATAAATAAACATTAAAAAATAAAACCAGAACAACCTTATAGATTTCAATGTTGACTTGCTTCCAAGAATGACTGCCTCCTCTGCCATAAGAACAGAATATGGTATGGTGCCAATCTACCATTACCGAACACTTTGATAAAACATTTGAGTTGCAAACTGAAGGGTTATGTGGGAAAAACACTGAATCATGGGGGACTCATTAAAAGAAGACTACACAGAGACACAGCATCTAAAAGAACTGGTGGACACCAAATCATTTCAGAAAATAGTATATAATAAAACTGAATTATAATTTTGATTAACTGGTAAAAAGTGTTTGCTATTATGTTCTTTTAAAATTATCTATAAAGGATCAAAATGACAACAGAAACTGTAAGATTAGATAGGACAGCTGGCAGTGAGTTATGTCAATGGGGTGGAGAAATTTGGAAAATGAAGGTAAAAGTGGCCACACAATTTAAAGAATGTAATCGATGTCAATGAATTGTACAGGTGGAAACTGTTTAGTAGGTCTGAATCCTGCTGTGTATACTCGCTACAACAATATTTTTTTAAAACTACTTCAGTTTTCATTATGGATCATATGTGAACAAGAAGAAAAATCTTCACAACTGCATCAATAAAAACCATCATGAAGCTGTCAAGAATTTCATTCTACTTGGAATAACAAAGTCCATGGAAAGAGCAATCAAGAAATCATATGACATATTGCACTGGGCAAATGCAATTCAAAAGACCTCTTTAAAGTTCTCCAAAGCAAGCATGTATTTCAATACTAAGGTGACTTTTTCAGTTGCCTCATAAGCATGCAGACTTTTCCAATGCAATACATCTCCTGATTTCCTGTTGGTACCAATTGTGGATCCAAGGAAGATGAAGTTGTTGATAGTTTCAATCTCTTCTCCAGCCTCCATGAGGTTGCCTATAGGTCCAGTGGTAAGTCCTCCTCACTTTCAGCAAGCAAGGTTGTGTCATCTGAATAATGCAGGTTATTGATGAGTCTCCTTCCAATTCTCATGTCACGTTCCTCTTCATAGAGTCTGGCTTCTTGAATAATTTGCTCAGCACACAGACTGAATTGGTATTGAGAAAGAATACAACCCTGACATGCTCACTTCTTAATTTTAAACCATGTAGGTTTTCTTTGCTCCATTCATACAACAGCCTCCTGGTCCTGGTATAGGTTCTGCATGAGCACAATTAAGTGCTCTGGGATTCCCGTTCTTCTCAATGTCAGCCATACAGTCAAATACGTTTGCACAGTCAACAAAACATGAATAAAAATTCTTCTGGTACTTTCAACCAGGATCCATCTGACATCAGCAATGGTATCCCAAAGAAGGTGCCATGGCCTTTTCTAAATCCTGCTTGAACTTCTGACATTTCTCTATGTACTGTTCTGTCCATTTTTAAATTATCTTCAGCAGTATTTTGTTTGCATGTGATATTCGTGACATTGTTCAATACTTTCCACATTCTGTTGATCACCTTTCTTAGGAATGGGAACAAATATGGACACCTTCCAATCTGTTGGCCAGACAACTGTCCTCCAAATTTCTTGGTATAGACTGGTGAATGCATCCAAGGCTGCATCTGTTAATAGAAAAAAGTCAATAGGTACCCCATTGAGTCCTGGGGTCTTATTTTTGCCAATGCCTTCAATGCAGCTTCCAGTTCCTCCTTCATTACCATTGGCTCCTACTAATGTAATGCTTCCTGAAATTTTTCAGTGTAAACCAGTTCTTTTTGGTACAGTGATTCTGTATATTCCGTCCATCTTTCTTTGGTGCTTCCCGGGTCATTTAATATATGGGCCATACATAGCATTTCTCAATACTATGACTCAAGATTTGAATTTGTTTTTCACTTCTCTCAGCTTGAGAAATGCAGACTGAGTTTTTCCCTCTTTAATCTTCAATACCAGCTCTCTGGAAATTCCATTATAATACTTTGATTTGTCTTCTCGAGTTGCTCTTTGAAACCTTCTGTTAAGCTCTTTTACTTCAGCTCAACTTTTTTACTCTTTTCCCTTTATTTTGGTTTCTCAATGTTCTAGTGCAATTTTCAGTCTCTTCTAACATCTATTTCTACTTTTTCATTCTCCTCTTTGTAATAACCTTTTGTTCTCTTCTAGAATACAGTGAAGGACCTCTCCAAATTATTGAGGGGTAAGACGTCAGTTTGAGGACTAAGGTGTGTCTGACTCAGGCCATGGTTTTTCTGATCACTTGATATGCATCTGAGAGCTGCACAACGAATACGGATGACAGAAGAATCGATGCCTTTGAGCTGTGGTGTTAAGAGAAGAGCACTGAACATCCCATGACTGCCAAAAGAACAAATAAATATGTCTTGGAGAGGGTGGAGCCAGAGTGCTCTTTGGAGACAAGGGTGATGAGGCTTCACCTCACATTCTTCGGGCATGATGCTAGAAAGGGCTATTCATTGGGGAGAAACATGATGCTTGTAAAGGTGGAGGGTGAGTGAAGGAGAGGAAGACCCTCAACAAGATGGACTGGCAAGGTGATTGCCACAATGTACTCTAGTGTGTCAGGAAGTGAGAAGACAGGACAGAATAGGATGGGGCTCAGATTTGCTATTCATGTGGTCACTATGACTTGTACTCCATTCAATGGCATCTAATAACAACAATAATTTAAGCCTGCAATCACTGGATAATTTTGAAAAAAACAGAAGAGTTGATTTAAACTGAATTATGGGGGAAGAACATTAAATATACTTTGGACGGCTAAAAGAGTAGAAAAATTAACTATAGGAAATAATTGCTATAAGGACAGAAATACTTCAATTGACTAATTTTGTGCATTTCATCAGAAAGACCAAGTGGTGGAAAAGAAGACTGTTGTTGTTATTGTTATGTGCTGTCAAGTCGCTTGTGACTCATAGCGACCCTGTGTACAACAGCCCTAAACTCCGCTC